GAGTAGATGCAGGTGAGGGAATAAAGCTCAATAGTGTTTCAAAATAAAACAGGAAGCGAGTAGATGCAGGTGATGGAATAAAGCTCAATAGTGTTTCAAAATAAAGCAGGAAGTGACTAAACAGAGACCCAGAATGACTGTGCTAAGACTAAAGCAAATCTGGCCTCTGATTGTAAAACTTTGATCCAGATGAATTTAAGGTCTCAGTCGAGTTTCATGTAATGAGGTCGACTCTGTAGATTAGAGTGAAGCAGCAGACAGCCTCGGCCAAAAAGCTGAACGTGAGACCTGAAGTGTGTTTTAAAGACAGCCGCAGGAAGGCTTCAGCGAGCACAAACAACAGAAACACACAAGACACAAAAAAAGCACATGTTTTGTAGCTATTTGCGAGGGATGTTCGTGTCCGTGCGGGTTTGTTTGTTGTGGTGGAGATCCTGCCGCTGGACTGCACTGACCTCGAGGCAGCAGCGACGTACAGGGAAAAACATGAAGAAGAAAACTGCCGGAGAGCAAAGACGCAAACATTGCAGAAGTGGAAAAACATTCCACGTTTGTCAACGAAAGTTTGGTTTCTGGAGAAATTCCACCTTTTACACTCACACAGGAGGTAATTTGTGCTTCTCTCGCTATAGAAGAATGGCCAAAATCAGAGATGGACCACTGAACGATGTGATTCATGCTTCATTTAATTGCTTGAAAGGAGGTCATTTGTCATTTCTGGCATTTTCTAAAATAAGTGATTAATCATTTAACTAAGAAATAGCACTTTTATTGCCAGTGAATGCAATTCAGTTACAGGTTTAATTAAAAAACGCTGCCCTTATAACACGCGCTAAATACTTTCTGCCGTGAATGCACCGTTCAGCGGCCGTCTGCTGTCGCTGAACTCAAACATTTCTGAAATGACTCGGGAGCATTTCAGCAGCATCCTCTGATCGGCGAGCAGGAGCACAAATAAAACACGAAGCATCGATGAAACGAACCTCACAGGCTCGGCGAGGCCCGCGGATCCAAGGACAGCTGCTGACACCGAAACACGCCGAAACTCAAACTCACCGTTTATCCGGTCAGCCTCCCAGACGCGTCCTCCGCCATCTTCTTCTCTCTGTCCACGAGCAGCTCCCGCCCTCGCCTCGAGTCCTCCAGCCAGGTCCCGAACACCTCCCGCACTCCTCCGAGGACGCCCCCGTTCTGTCCCCCGTTCTTCAGCTCCGCCACGCTCTGCTGCCTCAGTCTGTCGGGCCGAGAGCGTCACGTTAGATGGAACACATAGCAGGAAACACATTTTAACATTTTAAGCAGCGAGAGAGTCGACTGATGTGGGATCACGGATGCTTTAGGAGTTTAACGAGTGTCCACAGAGCTCTGCTGGGGACGCTTTGGTGCAGCCAGCAGTTAAAACCTGTGTTTAGTGTTACTCTTAGTTATCATCTGCACTTCACATCTGAGAAAAACCAACGCAGACATTTTTCAGAATAATTTTCTCTGTAGCCCTGAAGACAGGGCTCCTGTCGCTGTTTTCACCCGTCTCGTTAGAGTCACGTAGTGACGACCAGTCCTATAATGATGCTGTCTGTTCAAGATAAATAAAACAATAAAAAAAGATTAAAAAATAATTAACGGTGAGGTAAAAATGTGAAATTAATGGGAGGGGAAGCATAAATGCCGTCCTGGGCCTAAGATTGTTGAAGGTTTAGATTTTCTCGTCATTAAAAACAGCCTGAAGCTGTTAAAGGAAACTAAGTGTTTTAGTTCCAGTGTCTCAGTGACGAGCAGCCACATGTGAAGCAAACATGAAAGAAAGGTGAAAGTGCGAGCAGCCCACACAAAGAAACTGGACTAAAAATCGGTCGTTTGTCCTTCAGCACCAACAAGAACTGTCAATCAGGTTTTTTGAGATGCCACTGAGGTGATTGTGCACAATCGTATTTAACGCGAGTGGGTCATAAGTGGAGCGTTTTTAATTATAACGAGGAGAAACTAATCACCGCAATAATTTAAAACTGAAGGAGGAAATTCTGTGGAAACAGAGCGAACCCACACATGACGAGCCTCTGTCACAGCCACGGAAACACTGAGACGAGCTGCGCGTTCGTGCTTTAAATCAGGCTTTACATCGGCAAATAAAAGGACGCGATTAACCCCGAACTCTCATCTGAGCGCCGCTGACAGTTTCCTTTATCGCTCTGCATTGTTCGGCTGTACGTCGCACGTCACGCGGCGCGCTTTGTTGCAGAGTTTATGAAATAAACAGCAGCCAGAAGGATTCGAGTGTGCTGTCAGTGCAGGTTCACGCCGTGGTGTTTTCAAAGGCTGAGCCAGAAACCCGGAGCAGGCTCACGGGAAGAATAAAAGGCTTGCCCAAATTATAGTGGAGATATTGGTTTCCAACGTAATGGCTGTGTTATTTGGCCAAACATGTCCCAAGCTCCTTGAAGGAGAGGCAGACTAAATAGAGTCATGTAGATTTGTAGGTTAATGTCCTGAAAACAATGTTAATGTGGCAACTAGAAAACAGCAGCACAAGCCCGCCGAGGGGAAGCGCAAATTTACTTTGGCTGCACAGGTCACCACAAAAGGTGCCAGTGGGTAGAAAACGGTGCTGAAAGTACCAGGGGTGCAGTTCGGTAAACACTGACTGCACGAATTATCGAGGAGAAGCGAAGGAGCGAGGTGGAATTTGGTGACTGGGATATAGGAATAAGATTGACTCGACTCTTTATGAAAAATGATTTTCATTTCCATCATTTCATCTACATAATAAAGGAGGTGGTCACACTGAGAAACGGGGGAATTATAGAGGGCTGTCAGCAGCTGTCAGTGTAGGACTACGTATCCGTGATTTCAGGGCTTAATTTGCTGTTTCTCTGCCAATTGTGGCAAATTATTCAGTCACTTTACATATACTTACGCAGCATTGTAAGAGTCCTTCACTACACGACCTGCTTTTAAAAACATTTCAGTAAAAAAGCAAAAGCAGAAAAACTTCCACATTATATCTTCATCCTGTTCTCACCGAATCAAAGCGCTTCTCAAATGTAAGACTGAAACCTTAAATCACATCTCTGATCGACACACCGGGCTGAGACTGAGCGTCTCCTTCTTTGTGTTTTCACAGACTCGTATTGATGTCTTGATTAACTTGTTGATGCTGAATCATGATAGCCATCACTCCGCTTTAAAACCTTTAAAACCTTCTTGTAGATCAAACGAGGGCAGATAAATGGAGAACGACATGCAGCTTAAATTCCATTAACAGTTTAGTTTTCTTTATTCTGATTGTTTGCTTTATGTAAAAATGTAATCGTAAACATTTCACAGTAATTTTATCTGCCTGCATGACTGGTTAAACAAAGGGTTTCAACATTCATTACACAGGCCTGCAGGCCGGTCTGTAGGGAAGCCACCAACTGGTAAATGTTTACAGACAAGTCTGTGGCTTCCATGCAAATTACAGACAACTGCAGCAACCTGTTAGAGACCAAAACAATTCTAAGGAGGTTTTCAGTGCAGCACTGTGGACCTCTTTGTGACCAATTTGATGCTAGCATATTCCATCAAAGCCTCGCGAATGCTTGCAAAATACACACCTTTCCACTTATGACCAGTGGCTACCAGTGGATTGAAACGTACTATCCGGCAAAACGTGAACCGAAAGTCGTCAAGGGGAAATAAACCATGGACTCTTAACTGGTAAAGTTTCAACTTTCAAAATTAGCGGTACTTAGAAGATACCTCATAAGGTTGACATCCACAGCAAATGAAAATGCTTTTCATAAAGAAATCCTTCCAAAATTTTTAACTTAGGTTTCTGAAAATTTGCCTATTCAGCATGAGGTTAAAATAAAACCCTACCCTAACCATGGATGGGTCTGAATGAAAGGGCGACCGTGGTTCAGGGGGTTGGGAATCGCATCTGTAACCGGAAGGTCGCCGGTTCGATCCCCGGGCTCTCTGTCCTGGTCGTTGTGTCCTTGGGCAAGACACTTTACCCTACTTGCCTACTGGTGTTGACCAGAGGGGCCGATGGCGCGATATGGCAGCCTCGCCTCTGTCAGTCTGTCCCAGGGCAGCTGTGGCTACAACTGTAGCTGCCTCCACCAGTGTGTGAATGTGAGAGTGGCATTGTAAAGCGCTTTGGGTGCCTTGAAAAGTGCTATATAAATCCAATCCATTATTATTAATCCATTGTCTGTAGTGGTCCAGGTCTGGAGGTGACTAAGAGGCTAACCGCTAACAACAGATTGCCTTTCAATTATTTATTTGACCTATTTGGCAAACCCAAATGGAACTCTTAAAATATAATTTAAAATAACTTTTAAAAGCAAACATCTTCTCATTTCTGAATCTATGATTGTTTAGCATGTGGCTAAAACCTAGTTAACCCTACCCATAAGGCCATCTCTTGGACTGTATGAGGAAAACCACTTTATATTCTGTGTATTTCTGCTAACAGAAAACATGTCAAAGTAAAGAACTGTGAATTAAGTACCTGCCAGCAAACTGGTCTTGGAGCTCATCGTGCTGTTGATTGTTGAGGCTGTTGGTGCGCTGGTCCATCAGCCAGCCCATCTCAACCTCCAGCACCTTACTGTTGTTGTTTGTTACGGCTCCTTCCTGACACCGCTGGATGATGCTGGGTGGAACGTTTTCAGGGGAACACATAGGCAGCCCCTGTCCTCCATTCACGCCATTGTTGTGAAAAAGTTCTGCCAAGTCCATGCTGCCGCTCTGCAGCCGACTATCGGTGAACCAGCGGGCCAGTTCTCCGCGAGCCAGTCCTGTCCGACCCTCCAGCTGGCTGAACTCCTCAGGGGAAGGCCACCGCGTTTGAGCAAAATCGTCCTTGAGGAGCGCCAGGGATCGGCCGTCTGGAGGCACTGAGCAGGAATTCAGATTGGGGACGGAAGGTGCAATGGTGCCAGGAGCAATCATGGACAGGGGGTGTGAAGTTGGTGGAGGGCTTTTAAGGAGGCCTACACCGGTGCTTGGTTTGTGAATCCCATTCAGTTGCAGTGCTTGGTGCTGATGTAGCTGTTTCTCAGTGATGGCACCAATGCCATTGCCGCCCATCCTTTTAGTGCCCATGGAGTTCAGAAGGGCTTGCTCCAGGTTGTCACGAAGCGCGCGGCGCTCTGCAAACCAGCTGTCGATTTCCTGATGAGACAGGCGGGTTATGGCCGACAGATTATCCACGTCGCTGTGTGTAGGAAAGCTGTTCCGCAAGAAGTTCTCCTCCAAGATCTTCAGTTGTTTTGCCGTTTTTCCTTTCATCCTCTCCAGCAAGGGGAACTGGGTCAGCACCGAGGACTTATGTTGAAAATCTGGTTTTGGTACTGCTGGGATGTCCCCACCGTCCAAATGTAAGATTCCATTATTGTGACCAGGAGAGGTCTGATCAAAGGGCCATTTCCCGTCCATTCGAGACGTTCCATTGGCCTCTGGCAGAGGACTGACTACCTTGTCTCCTCTGGGGTAGCTGGCTTTCAGCTCCACTCCTTGCTGCTCTTTTAATTTCTTGCCATCCAAGGAGAACGCTGAAATCTGGGATGGAGCTTTAGCCGGAGCACGGATGGACTGGATAATTGTCGGCCTCCTTACCTGTGAAGTAATGAGCGGAGGGGAGTTCGGCAAATTTAAATCAGAAGCTGGCAAATTGTGAGAACTGGGGTGTTTTTCTTTGGAAGGGACGGGCACGGTACGGGGAATAAGTAAACTGTTTCTGAACGGAGAGACAGAGATCGGTGGGGGGGCAATCATTGGCCTTGTTAACGACTCTGGAAAGACTATGGAGGGCAGAGACACCACCGGCTTTGTTTTGGGATTTCCTGACGCCGAGAGAATCTTCCCTTTGGAAGACAAAGATGATGATGACAACGATGGAGGCGGTGGCATTAAAGGCACAGCAGCGGATGACCTCTTCATCTCTGTGGTAACCAGAGGAACTGCTACAGGTCTTTTCATCTCCACGGGAACAAGAGGTGGAGCCATTGGGAGGCGGCCTTTTGGGGGAGGAGGTGGTGGGGGAGGAGCCATTAGGACCTTGTCTTTAGGGTCACCAGAGTGGGGCGCCACTGCCATGATGGGTCGCTTGGACTCAAACACTGTTGACAGCTGTGTCGGCAGGGGTCGCTTAAGGGAGTGGCTAGAGCCTGCCGGGGAGTTTGTGGTGACTACAGTTAGCCCATTGGGCGCAGTCGTCCGGACGTGACCAAGATGCTCGACTGTCGTGTGGACGATGGGCTGCTGTGAGGCTTTGGCAGACGGCTGAGAGATGGGGCTTGTAGGCAAGACGGTGAACGTGTGATGAGCAGGAGGGATGGAGCCATTAAACATTTTCTTCCTGGCTTCCTCCACCTCTTCCGGGGACCAAGTGATACCTTGCTTCAGCCGCTGGGTAGTGAACCAGACTTTGATCTGTTCCTCCGGGTGCTTGGAGGCAGCTGTAAGCCATGACAGCTCAGCATGCGTTGGGTATGGGAATTTATTAAAGGAGGCGATCAGCGTCAGGTTGTTGTCTAAAGAAGGGTTATATTTGGTGGTGTTCAAGGGAACGGCTATTTTTGGTACAGAGTTAAAGTTGGGTGGACGCTGGAGCATTGGGGTGACATGGGAGAGCCCTTGGACGATGGTGGGTTCAGGGATGATGACGGTTCCGTTGATGTTCACTGCTGTGATTTGGTCCTTCTGGATCAAACCGTCCAGCTGGCTTTTCAGTTCGCTCCCTCCAAAGAGCGTGTGCACACTACCCGGAGATTTCACTGTGGTAGATATGCAAGGTGGAAACACAGAGCTACTGTGGCTTTCACCTTTTTCATTTGTCATGTCGCATTCAGCTGAATTGTCCTTGCCTTCGATTGTCTGCTCTAAGATAGTCTGATTGTTCATTTTTATCCTCTTGAACTTGAAGTTCGTCTCACCTGGGTGCCGGCTCTCGTTGTGCTCTGTGAGCGAGTCAAACTTCTTGGTGTTGAAGTTGCAGACAGCACAGAGGTACAGCGGATTTAGAATGACGTTAGGATGGCTCGAGTCCACGTGTTCTTTGAAGTCATTCAGGTTCTGCGTCGAAAACGGGCAGTATTTGCACTCGTAACCTCTTCCCTGCTTCTTCTGGGACACCGGGTCTGATTCTGGCGCTTCTTTGTCCTTCCCCCCTCTGGCTTCTACATCTTCGATGACAGGGGGGTGATCTTCACATCCAGACTGCTGCTCTTTGTCTAAGTGTTTTGGAAATGCCTTCCGGTCTGGATTATCTCCATTATCCTTCATGAGGTTTTGACTCTTTTTCGCAGATTCAGGTGGTTCATTTTCTCTCACATCTTTGCTTGCCAATATTTCCATGTCCATCACCTCCTCCGGGTCATCTTGTTCATCAGGCAGGTCGCTGATGACCCGGACCATGCAGGGGGTGGAGGACTTCCTACGACTGGACATGATTGCGGCTGCTGCTGCTGCTACTGCTGGTGATGATGGTGGTGCTGGTGTTGCTGATTGTGTTGACGATATTGTTTTTGGCTGCTGCTGCTGCTGCTGGTGCTGGTCGAGGACGTCAGCGTGTCTGCGTTGGGGGGTCTTTACTGGGGCGGAACGGAGCAGGTGGTTGTGGAAAGTGGTAGGCGGTTGGATGTGGAGTCTCCAGTGTGTGAGAGGGAGGGCGAGAACCGGCTGACGGCGCTGGCCCAGGACCGGTTGTGCAGTGGCGTCTCCCGCTCACTGGCAGTGTCAGCTACCGACCTCGGCGTCATGGGAGGGCATCACAGACAGCAGCGGCGTTCAAGCTGCACGGGGACGAAGACAAAGAGAGAAAACGACACATTAATACTGTTTGTGTTCAGTGAGCTGTGAGGAAGCCACTTAGAAAGGGCTAAAAATCTGAGAAAAACATGTCGGAGAGAGAAAGACGTCACTACAATAATGTTTGTGTCTGATGTTCACTCCAAGCAGGATAAACAACAGGGAAAGTGCATGATGGGCAGTGAAAGAAAGAGGGGAAACTAGATAATCTGCACTTTGGTAAACAAGCCTTTTTGATGAAACATCCTTTGTTTGAGGTGAAATCAGCACAGGAACAGGAAAAAAGAGTGGAGAGAATCACTTATAGGGATACAGTTTTAATCAAAAGTTTATCATCTTGGACATGAATGTTTTAGTAATGCTTTCATATTTCACAATTTCTGAGAACTTTTTCTGGAGCTGAATTATTTCACAACCTCTAAGATTATGAGAAAAAGAAACAAACTCAATAATTTAGTGAACAAGTTTTAATTTATTTTAGATTTCCTGAAATAAACACAGGGTGAAAATAATATATACGAGGTCAAGAACATTTATACACCCACTTAGATGTCCTAACCAGCCACGGTGGAGTCTCTGTGCCAACACATAAAGGGAAATCGTTCGACTGACTGATGCATGGCGACATGTGAAAATCTGGGGAGCTTAGATAAGTCAGGGATATCTTGGAGTCGTTTCTAAAGGACTGCATGTTCCAAGATCATCCGTTCAATCCACTGTTTCTTCTCAGGAAGTGCAGCTACTGTGCCAAGGTCTGAAAAACTATCCAAACTTTCACCCTGAGCTGAGAGGGTGAAAGCTGCTCTGGTTGGTCCGAACAGACCTGCCATGAACTGGAAACGGCTCAAACATCAGCGTTACCGCCTGCTGTCCAGATCCCCAGTGGCTAAAATACGGACACCTCGACTAAAGTTTGAAACTGACCGAGTGCACAGTGAAAAATGTCCTCTGAACCAAAGTTTTATGATTGCATGAGGAAAAAAAACGAGTTGTAGGACACACTTGCTCTTTGGTTGCATCATCTTATATTAACTATATAATTGTTGCAGCCAGACTGAGCTAAACCCACAAAGTCAGCACTGCAAACAGAACATATAGAACAAGATTACCAAACCAGAGACGCTGCCTACCAGCGTCAAACAGCTGTTTATGCTGATGACGGGTCGTTTAAACACACAACAGGTTTCTGGATTTGTCGACCGTAAACAGACTCTATCTAGAACTGTGTAGTCCATAGACTGGACACTAAAGGCAAGTTTTCATCAATAGTTATCCGGAGAGCTGGGAAAGCTGTCACTGTGAATCTGCCAGGGCTAAACTTAAAAACTATCACCACAAAGTCCCAAAGCATGCAGACTGATGAAAGCTTACACAAAGAAAATTAAGTCCAGCCATGGGAAGGACGGGAAAACTTTTATTTTGCTTTTTTGCACATGGAGAACTTGGAACAGTCCATGCTAGTGTTTTCTCTAACATGCATGGATGTAGTCACCTATCGGTTATTAAAGTCCAGTCTTAATGTTCGCCGTGGCCACACACCTGACAGTCAGACGGTAGGCCCGTTAAGTTTTTACTGGAATGGGACAAAAACTTTACGAGGTTAATGTTTGTTCAGCGAGACGTGAAACTAGCGCCGGAGACCACAAACTCATCAGGAAAGTGTTACCGAGGCCGCAGATCAAGTGAGCCGAGGGCCACAGGCTAGAGCAGTCGCCCCCTGCGGGCCAAAAGAAAGAACGCAGGTTTATGGCACTATCAGGCCTAGATGTTGATTTTTCCCATACATCTGTAATTTAAACAGGGACTTATTACTTGCTCCTATGGTTAGTAGAGAGAGTAATTACTACTCTACTGACCTCTAGATGCTTCTCGCAGGCTCTGCAAGGCTAATAATTTCAAGCATTCCCGTATGAAGAGTACCTATAACCATGTTAGGGAAACAAAGTCAGCCATTTTTACTGCCCACAAGTCATGGCGAAACCCTCTGGAGCAGATCTGATCATTTTGTAACTCCCCATCCAAAGATGGGAGGTTCCAAGCTTAATTAGCGACGTGATATTTTGCGTCTCCTTTCCTGTAATGTCCGAGCCAGGTCTGTCAGGCCTGTTGGCGCTCATCTTAGCATCGCACTGGCTCCGTCGGGTCCGGTCTAATCAGGCCCTGGCAGGCGACAGCGTTTGCTGACAACACCAGAAGGCCAGAAGTTAAAAATAAAGGAAGTCCGGCTGACAACTCGAGACGCCACGCTCGAAAGTTATGATGAATCAGAGTGCCACTTAATCAGGACACGCCGTTCCAGGCCAATCACATGTAAATGCGATAAATTGAAGACGTCCACGGCAACTACAAAAGACAAAAAAAAGTCTCCAAACTCCAAACCCCATTAAAAAGACATTAAGCGCCTTTCATAGATTCGGGCAAAGACAACTTCACAGGATAATTACCCTGTAATCATGTAATAAGAGAGACTCAGTGATGAGATCTCCTGACAGCTATCATCCACACAATGGAACGGAGAAAGTGAGGTAAAAACAGACGGGGAGAGAGAGGAAGATAGGTGTGAATAAATACAGAAGAGTGCAATAATAAAAGGAGGACAAAAGGAAAAAAGCAGGTAAATGGGAGGAGAGAGAGGAGAGAGAGTGGCGAAGGCGCGCAGAGATAAGGGGAAAAAGAAAGAAGGGAGAGTCTGAAAACTTCCAAGCTAATGAAAGAGAACAGGCACAAAGCAGAAGACGTTTTAACTAGGCCATGGCCTGGCAGACAGAAAGAGAGAGACGACGGCGAAAGAATGGAGGAGAAGAAGAGCGAGAAAAGAAGGCAGATAAACATAAAGGAGGAGGAGGAGGAGAGGAAAGGGACAACAGAGTGTTTCAGGAGGAAGAAAAAGGGAGACGGGGAAAGATAAGCAGAGAGCAGAGGAACAGAGAGTAAGAGGCACAATCGAAAGCAGATGAAGAGAACGAGAGAGATGAGAGGACGACGAAAACATTTCCATTTGACAGTAAAATTTTAACGGATAATAAAATGAGGTTTTGGTGCACTTTCTATCAGGAAAGTTGAAGCTTTGAAAAGGTGCCCCAATCAGTTGGGGGAAAAACACATTTGCCAGGGAAAAAAATGGGTACTTCAACACTTAATTAGTATTGGGCAAGCTGTTATTTGTCCCATGTGTCACTTAATGCTGGACATATTTCATGCTCTTGCAGCCTTGATCAGCTTCTCATCGCCTGCACGGGAGACACATTTTATAGCTGCAGAGTATCCAGAGCCCGTCTGAATTGTTGCACTGTGCAATGAGACTGAACTAATCCTATGTTATTATAAATCTCATGCATTTACATTGCTGCTTATTGCACGCTTCGGCTAATGGCGTTTCCTCAAACAACGAGCATAAAAACACCGACAATCAATTCATAAAAAAACGACTCGACGGCGAACCCAAACGTGTCCGACGCGCTCGCCTCGAGGAGTTCAAAATTTCAGTCCCAAACCTCGTTGGAAAGAACCGAACGCACCGCGGGGCGAATAGATGCAATCCAGAGTCCACCTCCTCCCTCCGTCTGCCTCTAAAACCTGCTGCAGCACAGCATGACCCGACCCCGCGCAACCTGATTAGACTGAATATGGTTTTGGACCCAGCCCAACTCAGGTCCCTGGGTCAGGTCTCGGTTACTGGGTAACCAGAGGGGCCTGTGAGGACCTGTAGCCTGTAGCGCCCGAGTACCGCAGAGTTCACGAGTTTAAAAAGTTTCACTTGGAAATGATTTAAAAATGACTGATAGGAGTAAAGGGCAGGCCCGTTCTGCTTCTCCCGATTTAAATCTGTGTCGGTGCTCAATTATCAGTGAAGTCTGTGTGAGGACTTCTACTATGGTCATCTCAGCCACAGAAGCCCCACCCACCGTTTAAGAGGGGCGACCAATCAGAAGAATATTAGCTTAATGGACCAAAGCGCTGTACCAGGTCCCAGCGTAAGAGACGTGGCTCAGTCTGAGACTGAAAACACGGAGCTGGAAACGAGCCGAACGCCACATCACCGTTTACTTCCTGCTTTGCCGCGACGCTTCTCTACCAGCCATCTCCGCCCACACATCCACAGTGTTTCCTCTGTGAAAAGAAACCCACACAGGCACGAGGAGAGAGCCTCAGCCGGGACTCAAACCCAGGACCTTCACGCCGTGCGGCACCAATGATGACTGAACCACCGACCCTGCAGCTGAAGGGAAGATGCAGTGAAGGATGTAAAAACATAACCATACAAAAGTCTGGCGTGGGGCACGGGAGAGACTCTAAAACAGGGGGTCGAACACGCTGAAGGGTCCGGTTCAGGCCTCGCGGACGTATCTGAGCGTTTCACAGGATCCCAAACTGTAACGTGAGTTTAATGAGGCTGGAGAAACGTTTTTCTACAGACATCTCGTGCCGTTCGTCATCTGTTTGCTAATGAAATGCTCATTAAATGAGAAAAATAATCCAACAACCTGTCGTCTGGCTAATTTTAAACCGAGCGTGGCAGCGGTTGTTTTTCACCTGCTTCCAGCTTTTATAAAATCTTGGCTCCGCTTCAGGAGACACATTTATTTACGCTCAACGGGAAAAAATTTGGAATATTTGCGTCGTGCATCGTTTTACTGACCCAGCCAGCTCACCCCTGCTTTAAAGGCGAGTTGCACTTACATGTTATTTAATGAGGCTTGATTAAACACTTTGTGTCCATTAAATTAGGATTTTATAGTTTAACGCAGAAATACATCCAGTAACCTTCAAAGAGAGGCTGCAGAAACGCTCTGTTGCTCTTTACACCCACACAAACTGCAACGCTCCAATCTGAGCCACACCCACATTTCCAGACACGGAGGATAACCCGCTGCAGCATCGGTCCGCCCTAACCTGTGAGAGCAAGCAGCTGATCACAGCTTTTAGAGATGCCCAGGTGCGCGTTTACGCTAAAACGGGAGTTAAGCTGCTCTTAAAAGGCACT